GCAGAATTACGAGGTAATAAAACGTCCCTAAAGTGGCGCACACCTCACGATTAAGTTATTAGATTTTCGTTTAGGGTGTTTAAAGAGGTTTCTATAATGTATATTTCGTCTTTCTCCACGTGGGCGTCGACGGACATTACGCAGCTGTTTACGCCCTGCAGTCGAGGTTAGTACTACTGTTGTCACGTTGTCATGACACTCTATCGCGCTATAAACTCATCTATTTGACCTGAATGCTGTCTATAGGGAGAGCAGTTTCGAATGTCAGTGCACATTCCACAAGTTTAGGTAGAGTAGCGAGTAGAAATCGTGACACGAGAGCCGATTGCGCCTCAATCTGGCTGACCGCGCTCGCTCTGATGAAGCGTAAGCTTGGTACTCTCCAGCACCGTTAGCATGCTGATGATGCAGGAGGCTGCTTTGTCGTTGAGAATGTTTTACGTTGCGAACGCCTGCGATACTTTTGCTTTTCTTGTCAACGTACCCGCTTTACATTTTTACCTTTCAAATAAACTCATTTCTTTTCCCTCCTTTAAATATGGAATAAAGATTTCATGTTACATTGAAGTGTATGCTTGTGATTATTGAGCAGAACTCGACTATTCTTCAGAATTTTGAATACGATAAGTTTTCTGTGTTTAAAGAGTAGGGAGCTTTTGTTAAAAGGTATGCATGTCTATTTCTGCATTGTAATCAATCGATTTGATTTTCCCTTAGATATGCGAGCAACTTATAGTATTTAGTGTTTTGCGAAGATTTATTTCTTGTCTACAGGTCAGTGGCAATGAAGGGTTGCAATCTGAAATGAATATTCGAGATCTACATGATAGTTGTTGGTATTGAATATATTGGTGACCAGGCATTCATCGTACTAGCATTGTGCTAACATTGCCAATATCAAAATCTTTTATACGAGAAAGGCCCTGATTAGTATGCCACTTGACAAGGTAGATGGAAAGTGATCGCTATACCATTTCGGTCTCAGCGCAAAAAGAGAAAATTAATAGAACTAAAAATCGCATTGATTGATCAGCGCCATATATGGTGTGCATATTCAATGGGGTTGTTAAACCGAAAAAAATTTCTGTGCTGCCTTGAGAAAAAAAATAAAGATCGACCGAAAGGATGCAGTTTTCTTCGGTTTCAAAACTATTTTTGGATGCATTTTGTTCACATCTGCAGAATCGTATTTGCAAAGGATTTTAAATATTTTGAAGTGCTATCTTGGCGGTTTGATGTACTTCAAACCTATATGACATGTTTTTTGGGACACATATTATCATGACAATTTTAGTATATATCGATCGTATTAAATTAATATTCACCAAAGTGCACTTGACACGGATTTCCAAAATACCAGGAAGAAATTTATACATATCACCATATTTGAAGTGTGCTTGAAACGTACCTATAAACACACTTTCAAACCATTTTAAATGTGTAATTTTAGTGCTAACCAACACATTTTATCATTATCCTTCTATTATACTTTTAACGGAAACAGTATTAGTTTTGGTAAAGGGAGGAATCCGCGTTTCACTGGGCGCTCCACAACTGATTTAATCTACAACGTTGCAGATGACAATAGGACATCACGCAACGCTCTCCAAAACCCGCTACAAAACCTGGAGCTCTGAACACGGGGGAGTGCCACGCATGCGTATTAGAGGCATCTTCGTTTTGAAGAGTGCGAGAGACGTAGAGATGGGTCTACGAGAACAAACAACGGCAGCTGTCGCAGCCGTTGTTTGACGAGGCGATCTACAGACTATTCGGATTACGCTGCGCAGCAGTGCAGTTATCACAGAAGAGTCATGGCGTGAGTAAACAACACGCATCGTTATCATTTTCATTTAGTCTTTACATGGGGACTTTTGCATTCACAAGTGTTCAGTCACTATAATCCTATAGGAACAGATTATAAATTGTATATTATATGTAGCTTTTCATGTGTTCATTGGCAAATTCTATACGAAAATGTTTTTTTTTCTTTTAAACAGGTTCGCAAAAGCATTTTAAGAATTTCTTGTACGTAGGAATATTATAGGGTTCCGCCCAAGGCCACGTATCAGCCGCGTTCGATTGATTGTTTATTCGGAATAAGGCTACATTAATTGGCGCAATATTTTAGATAGACTGCTTTCTATAAAATATAGAGTGGCGATATCAGTCTAAGTGTCCTGCCACAATAAGGAGGATAGTTGTTTACCATGACATTGGTTAACCAGCTAAACTTGATATACTTAAATGACGTCGGCGGTACCAACGTATTGAACCGTATGCAAGATATTTTTTTTGCACAAGCTGAATGTATCTTTATATATTATTAAAAAAAATTTTAAATAGTTAAACTGTTGGAAATTTAACTCGGATATCACTCATTCAAGTGATCAGTTATTACGAAAAAAGCATATTTTGAAAATGTTTGACGGTACCTCAAAATAAATTCTTCATGACATAAAGAAGTCAAGCGACTGATCGTGTTACAATGAAGAGATTATGTGGTCAATATAAAGCGACGAAACAAAGCGTAACATTTCGAACCAATATTTCTGAATAGTTTACGGAGTGACGAAGTTCATCAATATGCCGTCCTTCTCTGGTGCGGTCTTTTATTTGGCGTAATAGTTTTCCAATATTTTTAAGTGTCTTAATTTTAAAGGGCAAGTGGTTTTTCAGAAGAAAGAGTTAGAGCAGGATTTTGAAGTGTTTTTCTCTCGTAAATTTGAACATCACGTTAGTTTTCCCCGAAGATGTAACGAAATGCAAGAAAAGACGAAAAACCTCTGACCATTCATCACGTCATACCTAGATATTTAGGCCAAGTGCGTGTCGCTCGTGTGGGCAGTGCGTGCAATATACGTTTTGCTAAATTATCCAAGCATCGAGGAAAATTATGGGAACGTAGGTACGAGTTCTACACGCGCTCGCCTTACCAGTGGAAAGAATATGAAGTGAATAATCAAACTAAGGCGTTTGCGAACGGGCGTGCCAAATGTAATTTGTTTTGTATGCTTGTTTTAGAACAGATATGCTCTGGACTCCAGCACGCACGAAGCTTGCAACTTTACTCGCGGATACACTCAGTGGTGCTTGGGTAATTTAGCAAAAGATCTAGTGCAAGTAGGCAACGCCAATCCTGACGTCTTTTTCTGGCCATTCTGAAAATAGCGAGAGGGCGCGTGCATAACTTTGATAGGCGCTGAAGATACGCGAGAGCGGAGATTCGAAAAAACTTTGGAAATGACGTCACGCTCCTTAAAGGATGAACTTGAGCGGTACTTTGAAAATCATTTCTGCAGTTTCCCTGCATCGAATTGAAAAGAAAACAAAAAAAAACCTCGATATTTGTGTTACTGAAACCAAATAAAGACGATTTAAGTGTGTTTTCCTTTTTCTAATATTAAAATACAAAACGGCTTTAGTTTCCTTTTAAAGTTACCTCTCGTGTACGAGGTGAACCACTACTGGTGCTTAGAAAAGGGGGTAATCAAATTATTATCCACTCTTTCACACCACCAGATTGCGCCCGTTGCACGACTAGTAAATTTACTGCAGCCACTGCGCTTTCTTTGTGCTCGGAGTCTTTCTAGCGTTCACTAACGTAGCTAAGGCACACATTCAATATTGAAAAAAGAAAATTAGCTAAGGCACACATTCGATATTAAAAAAAGAAAAAATATAAACCCCAATTTTTTTACTTTCAAGAAGCTGCCAAAGCGTTGATCGAAAAAAAAATTGCTGCACAGATCACAGTGAGTAGTTATAGACGCCATACTCAATATGGCGACCTACCGCGGGCTGGGCGACGCAATGGTGGCGAATGGCGGATCAACGTTGCGACGGACGTGCGACCGCTATTTCGGAGTTGTAGTTCGTGGTACCGGCGCCAATCGATCTTCAAGCACAGAACAGCGAGGGGAATGGATCAAAGTGCGAAACCATGGCTCAAAGCACGGTTGAAGCAATGTCATCATTGTCGTCGTCTGCTACGCACGCTTAAGAAATGGAGGGAGCGAAAAAAAAACAAAACACTGGGTGGGGAGCGATAGCCATATGACTTCTGGCAACACTCTCCTCCGAGCCCCTTTGCGCATATTTCGGTTTCGGTTTCAAACATTTGCGTTTTTATACTTTATTAAAAATACACGTGACTCAGTAGCAAAATATTGATTGCGTAGCCTTCTGACACCATATAAAACCATGCCTTAAAAAATATAAAAATATATTTCTTTTATTTTTTTTATTTTATTATTTTTTTTTTTTGGGGGGGGGGGGGGGTAGTGTTTTTTAAGGGTACCTCGGTGGCACGCTCTCCTGTGAGTGACTCGGACATCCTCAGTGGCTTTGTTGGAAGTCTTTTTTCCGTGCATGGTGACATTCACATTTGGAGGAAGATATTATCAAGTGCTCAGCCAAGTTAGATTTGGCTGAGCACCACGCAAAAAAAAAAAAAAAAACAATTAGTCGTTAGACATTTAGATAGCTTGTGGTTAGACTGCTAGATCATTGGATCACTCGCTGTAGATAAGAAGTTAAGCCAGTGCAGTGCCCGGGTTCTGTAATGTGCTTCACGCAGTACCTATACTCGACCGCGCGCCGGTACGATGCTCATCCAGATTCAGTTGAATTGAACCCAGGATCCCAGGGTTCTGGACATTTCTGACTGAAACAGGGTCTCTGGTTTCTGGAGATTTCCGAGTTCCCGAAAAGCAACTTTGGCGCTAAGTGTTTCGAGCTGCGTCGCGTCTTGAGTATGAAAGTAATGTTTGTTATTTCTCACTATTTCTCTCGGGATTTTGTCATTATTGCGATTATTTCATGCTTATGGGAATTTTCATATAGTTCAGGGATATTGTCTTGAGGTAATAAGAGTGCAACTGTTTATCTCCACTACGACAGTGATACCGACGTGACATATTTCTAACAAAACCGGCAGGCACTTCGTAGGCGTGGTCGTGCTGCTGTGCTGCCTGGCGACGCCGTCGAACGCCTTCATCGAGACGAACTACCACTCAACGGTCTCCACGCTCTCCGGTCTCATCAGCATGGAAAAATTTGTGAAAACCGACCTCCTCCGCTACGTGGAACGCCTGAAAGTTCTTCAAGATAGCATTCTCAAGTAGGTTCCACCGCTGCTCTGCGTCATTAGGGCAGACTTGCACGTAATTCAACCAATCTACTCAAGTTACTGTAGTTTAACTAACTTTTTAGTAATTTAATGACTCTAAATTAAAATTTTGTTTCTGTAATTAGTAGTATACTTTAACTACTTTTCCCGAGTAACTTCTACTTAAATTACAAATTACTTCCCAAATTTAACGGTAGACTTGCTCATAAACAAACGTTGCAACACAAAGAAAGATAACGTTTCAGAACATCAGCTGATATTCGCAAAATGGGGGAAGACTTCCAGCCAAGACAATCCAGAGATACTTAATGCAAGCTTTTTAGGGCTCTGTGCTCTTCTTCGTCTGCCTCATCAACAGTCGGAACCGTACACGAGATGCAAAGGTGTGTCTCAAGTGTGTTCTCAAGTGAGGCCGAGTAGCAGAGGGGTTAGCGGTGGAGACCGCCTTTTCTTTGTGTCACTAAGCTGAAGGAGGCAAGCACCTCGCGTATTTGAAGAAATAGCTTGTCCCTGGTTCTCCCCAACCCAGAAACGTTTGCCCAAAAGAGCCACCAAGATGCCACACCAACTGTGAAGCCCATGTGGTGCTCCTGTGCTTTGTGCTCCACTTGAAAGATCGTTTGCTAAGGGTCAACGCATGAGTGACATCTCTGCATACATCTCCTCCCAAAACTCAGGATATGCGGGAAATTCAAAATTCGAAGATTTTTCGTGGATATTTAGTAATTCCATCAGTGTTTATACATAAAACAAAATAATGAGCAAGCAAACAGTGTATGCAAATTTAAGCTCGGGGAGGGGTAAACCCCAAAATATAATGGTACATCAGCAGTGCATAACTAATCAAAAACAAAACAAAAGAGTTAAAAAGAAAACAGGGCACGCCGCACCAGAGTCAGCTATAAAATAATTTTCATTAAATTAGGAGATAGAACATTTTTTGTTCATATTTGGCCACAGGAATCTTCAAAACGAATTAAGAGTTATGCCCTTTGTTACCAAAAAGATATAAGGAAAGTTAATTTCAAAAGTAATTCACTGCCTTTTTACGATAGTTAGAAGTTTTCTCAATGGGATTCCATTTGAATAATCTTTATTATACTCAAATCATTTTTGAGGAAGATACGTGTACTAACCTAACTTAATTAACTTTCTGAAGTAACTTGTACAAAAATAGACAGGTTTTTTTAACATAACATATTTCTTTTAAAAAAAGCTGTGAACGTTACACGTATTTGGTTTGTGCAGATTATTTATACATCCAGTAGATAGTATTGAAGGCTAATAATAACGATCAGGTGGCTAATTAACAAATTCATTATTTAACTTTTTAAATAATGAAAATAGACATATGGTTCCAATCAGAAACTTGTTGAGCGTAGTCCGAAACCCCTAAATCAGTAATTTCTAGAAAGACTTTGAGCGCGTGAAAAACGCAGTAGTGCACTGAAGTTACCACTCGTGGAGCAGATACAAGGCTGGGGCTAGATAAGACATGGAAAAATCGCGCAGGCGCCTTACCGCAACCACTACCCTTGTACCAGCTCCACGAGTGGTAAATTTAGTGCACTACTACGCTTCTCGCGCGCGCAAAGTCTTTCTGAAAATTACTGATTTAGTGGTTTTCCATGACGCTGAGCAAGTATCAAATTGGAATCATATGTCTATTTTTATGAATTAAAAAAGTTAATTAACGAATTTTAATTAATTAGCCGACTACATCTTAAGACGTGCTTTCCAAAAGCTAGGCTACCTGAGACGATCCCTGGGGCGCTCCACTGTATCGGCGACGTGGACTGCATTCCAGACCTACGTGCGACCCATTCTAGAATATGCAGGAATGGTCTGGGATCCGCACACCGAAGTAAACAAAAATAAACTGGAAAAAATACAGAGGAGGGCGGTAATGTTTATCTACAGCTCCTATAGCTGGTCTGTGTCTCCCAGCCAGCTCCTGCAAAATGTCAACCTCCAGAACCTCGAAAATAGACGACGGAGGGATCGATTAAAATTCTTATATCGAATCATTATTGACCAGCTAAAGATGAACAAAAACAAGTATATCTCATTCTTTCAGCCACGATTAACAAGACGATCACATCAACTGTCAATGAGGAAATTTTCCGCTAAAAGCAATGTATTTCATCATTCGTTTTTTCCACGCACTGTTAGAGAATGGAATTCCCTGCCAGCCAACGTTGTGAACAGTCCGACATTGTCTTCATTCCTCTCCCAAAATCGGCTAGAAAAGCATACAGTTGTTGTACGTGTGAGTTGCGTCTTGATTGTATATTATGCATTCTATGTTCGCGAGTGTTTTGCGATGGGATTGGATGAGCCAGTCACTTTGCTTGTCTGTCCCGCGTTGCAGAAAGGCGCTGCCGAGATTTTGAACTGTGTATAACAGCACTTTTTTTTTCCAATATGTGCAGTTTCACTCCTGCTACCGCCTCCACGAGGTGAGCAGTATTAATAAAGAAATAAATAAATGAATTTATCGCATAGATTGGCCATTCACATAAGGTCCCCCTGGCCGTATAACTCACCTGCACAAACCGCATAAGTAACTGTCACGGCTTTTTTAAACAAATGTGCTACTTGAAAAAAAACATATATCTATTTATCTCTTTCTCTCTCTATATATAAATATATGTCTTACTGCAGATTTGAGTTTGGTTTCTACCGTTTAAATCAGATTACGTCACTGTTTAACGTTTATATTTTCATATCTGCTAGCCATGCGGTGGAATTGTCGTTTTATTTCTCCGATTAAATTAAACGGTGGCAATTTTTTATATTTTATTTTTTTATCTGTGGCCACCTGGTGACTGTATTTTTGTTTCTTTTTGTTCTCGAGTTATTTTTGTTTGGTTTATTTCTATGGATACTTTTACGACATTTGTTATTTTACTACCTAACTGGTAATACTGGTTCTTAGTAATTATTGTCATAATCTTTTTTATGTTGTAAATATTTATTTTATAAAATCGAGGGTCAGATTTCAAGGTAAGTCTGATCCTTCTCGCGTTGACAATGTATTCTTTAAACTGCCTTTTTTTTTGCTATTTTTAAAGTTCGGTCTTACGACGCCTTTTATGAAAACACTACGAAGTAGCATCTGTAAATGAAAACAAATAACACAAATTTGGAGTGTGAAATTTACATAAACGCAAAGTCCAACTTCCAAATGTTCAGTCTGTGGATATTCTACTCGGCAGTTTCGTTCAGGACAAGCAACCCTACGATGACTTAACATCACCTTCCGCTGTCTCTGAATACCTCAAGCACCCGGTGCATGCCTTCCACTTGATCAAGAGGATGACCGCTGGCCTGGGGGACATAGAAGCACTGATAAACAAAACGAGAACGTTTGGTACGTCTCATCTCTTCTTAGCAGACATATAGCACCCCGTGAGTAAAAAAAGAACCGTTGACTATCCGCAGGGACCGCATACATAGGTTTTCTCACATATCGCACAAGGATTTACCACAGTGGTGCCTGATGATAACGGATTTAGCGTCTCATATTTTTATGGAAAAATCTTATTTCAGTAAAAAGTTAAAAATCAAAAGCTTGAAACCTTTAGCTAAGGCGCCAGTCTGCTGACGAAAGGCGTTTGAGTGGCGTGACAGCTGAGAGATGTTGGAAAACACATCAACAAACAACATATATGTATTGTTTTCTTTTTCTCGTTTGTGTTCGTGTTTTATGCTTCACTGGTAAGAATAAGAGAAACATGTACTGACAATAAGCACAGAAAAAAAGCGCACAGCTTCTGGCTCAGAAAGACGCCTGTTATTGCTGACGTTGAGGGAAGCGCCCATTGTTGTCGCCTGCTCCGCCTGCCATCTTTCGTGCCGCCATCTCGCAACATTTGCAATAGCAGACGCCTTTCGTTTGAAGACGGATGCGGTAGTACAGAAGATCCACCACCTTCAGGCAGCGCTGTGTGTGGTAAATCTTAGCGAGTTACCTTAAAAAACCGCTTTATGGGTTCATTTAAATCACCCAACAATATTAACGACATAAGCGGTAGGATAATAGATGGGGAACACCAACTCAATTACGAACGACTTTTTTTTGTTAATGTCTTACACGGCCAAGGTTGTGAAGCGGCCATTGAATGAGGATTGCAAACACCTCAATCGATTGCGGGGCTTGTACCTCGTGACCGCGCAGAAAGCATTTAACTATAATGCTGTTTTACGTGACGTACTTGTGACTTCAAATCTCTCCGAAAGGCATATTGATGGACTTTCGCCTGATGTCCTATGCGCGGAGACAGTGTTTTATTTCTTGGTCTTTCTTTTTTGTGTCATGATATACTTTGCCTGCTGGAGGAGTCGGCAACACAAAAAGAAGCATCTGATAACTCGGTATTTATACAAAGCTCTCATTCGAACTTAAGATGAGCCGGTGATCGAGAACTCTCCCCGCTTGCGGTCGTGAGGGTCCCAGTCACATGCCACCTGGGCGACTCCGTAAGCCTTTGAAAACGTGGTGGCACTGATGGACATGAACAAGAGGTTCTTCTCTCTTGTTCATGTCCAAAAGCGTTACCACCTTTTTTAAATATTCAGCACCAGCTCGCCCAATAGCCAAAACTGCCTCCACAAGGATACAAATAAAAATAAACTTGAAGTTACCAATCGAAATACGTCTCCGACCGTATCTTTCTGAATTCAGTCGTCGACGGAGCCATTCGCCATGCTTCGGCGGTTTAGCAACACCAAAAACGACGTCAATCACTAAGCGTCTGGGTGTAAATACACGGCTGAAGGGTCAGACACTGTTAACCAACATGGTTGAACGCGGCTTATCGGAAGGGGGAAAAAACGCTTCGTGAAATCTAAATTTGGAAAGAGAGCGAGTTCACTCTGCGCAAAGCTCACTGTTGATATTTTACCAATATGTTACTTTGTCATATGTTACTGATATGTCACTCTACCAATGGTAGCTGTAATGCTGCACCAATCAACAATTACCTAGAAATCATAGATGTTGATTTGTGTAGGAGCACGTTCTCTAGTGGTAAAAGTTGCTCGCGTGTCCAAAACAATACATTTTATGATGGGAAATGAACATGCCTGAAGATTTAGCAAGCGCTCTACAACAGCGCGCACCGCTAGGGAGAGGAATTAACTCATCTTGAAACAAAAATATTTAACGCGGGTGAAATCCAAGGCTCCATGAGCGCAGCCACAGTATCCAGATGATGAGGTGTTTACCTTATGGTTCGTTTCAGCTGAAGTCCAGATTCAGCCAATGCAACAAGCTCGAGCTCCTGGCTTTCAGCGTCCCTGCGAAGCACGCGCGCTCGTGCAGTCTGGGCACTGTTCAGGGCCACATGCTTGCGCTTGTAGCATCTGAAACGTAGTATAGCAATGTCCTGCCTGTAGACATTACATAAAAAAATCTATCTTTCAATACCACTATGGAGACACTTCAGCGTAGATACTAAAACGACAAAAATTAATGAGCAATACACAAAATACACGTGCCCATAACACTGTGGAAGCCTGTCGACGCGTAGTTTCGGTTTCGGTTGCGCCGGGTTGTGCATCTGTCGTCTGCAAACGTGTCCACACCGTCATTGCTCACGTCGTCGTGGATTGCTCCATACTTGAGCACGATGCAGTAAGTACCCCTTTCTTCTCGTCATTACATATCAGACACAGCGAATAACAAACAATTACTATTTTGCTGGCACGGGGGCTAGCGAAAACGCCGCAATTGCGAAGTCAAATGAACGCCGATCGACGTGCGCCGAACGCCGTGCCAGCTCACTGCGTGCATTCGTTTATAACATCGAGAACAGTAACTGAGACTAGTGCTCCAGTTTTATAACACCCTTCTTTCTCCGATTACTATTTTCAATGGGGCTAACGCGGTACATGACGAACCTCGCAGAGCGAGAAGGCGTTCAAGCGCGAACATGCACTTCTGGCTACGTCGCTGTTAGGAAATTGTAATTGTTTCGTTATTCGCTGTATCTGATTTGTAGGAACGAAAACAAAACTGTACTTAGTCCATCGCGCGTAAGTGTAAAGTAATCCACGACGACGTGAGCAATGTCAGTGCGGAGACGATAGCAGACGTCAGATGCACAAACCGCGAAACCGAAACTAGACGTTGACTGTCTCCAGCTCCAAGAGTACACCTGAACCCCTAGAGGCGCTGCTATCTTGCATATTGCCCATCCTGTTGTCCTTAAAGGAGCTGTGCAACGATATTCAATTGGAATGTTTTTTCTCTCTACACGAGCTTACTGGCACACCTGGGACTCAAGGATACTCACACGCAACGCCATTGGCCAAGAAACTCCTTTGTTGCGGTGTAATATTAAGGACAAAAGCGATCTTTTTCATTCAATCTCTCCTTTGCAAAATTTGATGACGTAACTCAGGGATCGCAGTGCGCCCAAGTGACGATATTTGAATGCGGTTTATAGATTGGACCCGAGCATTGCGTGGACACTCAAATTTGGCTCTTGAAAATTGTTAGCTCGAGAAGCATTCGGGTTGTGACCCGTGTCCAATCGCTGCAACGACGACAACAGCCCAGCCATAACAATGTCTGGAACTCAGCGCGTGTCCTGCGCTTTGCCAACCCCAGCGCGTGGGTATGATCAACACTGGCGGCATATAATCGGCTCCAGATCACGTGGCTGCTTGTTCTGGCTGCGAGTTGAGGGAATAAACGCTGCTCGTTTTTTTTTTTAATTTTTTTTTTTTTGGGGGGGGGGGGGGGGACTTTTATTGAGTGGGGTGAAAAACGAACGCGTGTTTCATAGGTCATTAACGTTAGGGATCCGTTTTAAGAGGTATTTGTGCACAGTACAAAAATTGTTGCACAGCTCCCTTAAATACAAATAATGCCCCCGAGTTATTCAACTTATCTACCCTGTTATATCATCAGATTATACATCAAACAATTAGTAAGTGAAATTTTGCATTCTGAATTAAAAATAACTTTTGATCTTGCAAGCACTCTCGCTTGCTTTGTAAATGCCACCTACCCCACGCCACTACTTTGATTAAAGAGTGCTGAAAGCATCGGTCTTTTTTTAGGTTTACTTGTACTGCAAACCATTTTTTCGCCTGTCGTAGAAAAAGTTGCATATCTATAAACCTCCACTAGAGTAATGGGACCAGTTCTGCACCAAACCCTAGCCTAAATTTAAAGAGATACTTCAACGAAACTTGAAATATACCCGTCATGTTCAGAAATAGGCTGAATACGATCCACAATATTCATAAATGACAATCGCACGATTGTATCTTGAGCCTGGTGGTTGTATTTTTCGTTATAATAGCGCAATCTGGCAAGCGCTCGGGGAGCAGCCAGTGGAGAGCACGTGACATCCGCCGCAATCGTGACGTCAATTGTCTCGGGACGAGCAAAGCTGCGGCGTGGCTGACGTCGAGAGGATGTTCTAGCCGTTCCTGTCACCAAAGCGGTCGAAGCGCTCCAGCGATCGGGACACCGCAACTAACCCCAAAGCTTCTGTTGAACGAATTTTCAGTGACGGGTTAAGCTTCAATAATCTTGTAGATGGACAATAGCGACCTCTGGGGCACACAAAAGAGAGTCTCGCAGAGAGAGGAGTTCCTCCTTACCCTCTTCTCTTGTGATGGCCGGAGGCGAGACATTTATCGTCCTCTGGATCTAGACCTTGATCTGTTGGCTATTCCCTTCTTGACATGCGGAAGCTACAGTACGGATTACCTCCGTATGTGTCCTAGCCATATATTGTACTTAGTCACTACCTGCCAAGATTCCTAGAGGGGCATTGTAAACGAGGCGTTAGATACATCCACCAGGTGCGCTTTGCTAATCGTTTAGTTTGTTTCAAAATTCCTTTTCGTGTCTTTTCCAACGCAAGATCGGTATGTCTGAACTGAACACAAATAGACCAAGAAATAACCGCCGAAATTTTGTTGCAGTATCCCTTTAATACTGCAATGTAGTTTAATCGCCTGAATAATTCAATTCATCAATCTTCAGTAAGTTGTTTATTTGGTAGCCAACAAGTGACAAGACGAAAGTAAAAGGTGTGGCGACACGGCGATTAGTATGTCTCCACGAACACTTGCAGATCCCCTTGTGAACGTCATGGAAATGCGCAAGCAACGACTGCTTCCGAGGGACGAGGACTTCACAGGGCTTGCGGGTTCACTTGTGAGACTCCAAGACACGTACGCTCTGGACTTGCATGAACTGACGAAGGGACACATACGCAGTGAGATTTTACGCAACCGAAGTGTTCCTGGGCGTCTACCACTCAACGGTATGCCACGTAATAGTTCATCTTAAAGAAAACTCGCATGGAGATTTAGCAAAATGTTTTCTAAGGCGCAGTAGGGAGCATGCGATCCAACTGATGTTCCTGCAAAACTACTCTGTTGAGAGCCGTACCGCGGCGATACTGTCTTGTCGCACAATTCCCATACTGCTAGGGGTACACCCTTCTAAAACATGCTCCCTGGAGTACGAGCCCGAGCTCCCGTACTGACATGAACTAAGTTCTAAGAACACACAACCTTCTGAAATACTCCAAAGAAAGTAGTTATTGATCTGCGCGGAAGCTCATAAAAGGTGTGCCTTGATGTGTTAACACGATCTCCCGTCTTGATATAAATTTTGTTAAAAAAATAGACGATTTGCTCAACATTTTCAATTTACACTCTCACGTTTTTGGGCACTGAATGGTCAATATAAAGCTTCTACACGATTTTGATTGATAGAGCACAATGTTTAACAGCGACCGAAACACTATATTAACTACCCTTTACCTCTTTTTTATGCTAGATTTACAATATCATTTTCTATATTCAGAGTAAAAGCTCTCTGCAAAGTTCATGAATAATATTTGAGGTTCTACTCCAACCCGATTTCGATCGAGAGAAAACAAGAGCGTTCTCAGCTTTTGGTTGAACGTAGCACCACAGCTTGCGTGTCATTAACAAATGAAACCGTTTTGACCCGTTCGCGAGTTTACAAATGGGCAATATTTTGGTGAGAACGTCTCACCAACATACGAGTAGCGAAACAGGTTTCGCGGCCTGTAATTATAGTCCTTAAAACTTTTCATACACCAATAGATGTCAGCTTGTGTACGGTAGCAGAACAATCTGAGATTTGTAAATGAACGGCGAGTTGTCAATGACGATTACAATTTCTGCCCGCATACGACCTCATTTAGCCGCGGCGCTCGGCTCGTAGCAGATGATGAACTTTCTTTTCTCGTCCGTTAGCAGACGATGTACGGCGTCTTCTTGTTTTATTTTAGCAGAGGAACCGCGTTCTTCACTCGCGTTGGTGGACGAACCGTCTAGGAAGGCTACCTTTGCTCGCTCCACGAGAGGAAAATTCGATCTCGCTTTCGCTCTCTCGGTGACCAAAATCGAAGCCCAGGTTCCGGCCAATTTTATTATAGATGAGCATCGTTTTAGCATCGTTTTAGCTACAAACCCGACCTTACCAACCGCAGCCAATACTTCTTGGATAACAGGCCGCAGTGCTAGACATTTTGAACCACATACCGGAAACCTGCAGAGAGCGAAGAGTGAACACAAGTTTGCGTCAGTCTTTGGCTATGGTTCCTGGAGCGCGTCCCCGACTGGTGGGATTTCCGCGTCCAAGAAAGGTGGTCCCTCGATATCCGCCTGATAACATCATACAAGTGGTATGCCCTCGCCGGCCGCGATCCTGGCGATGTCCCAGCAGCGGCGGTGGATATGGCAGACGCCTGTTCTCCTGCGGGTCGCTTTCCAGGAGTTGAGACGCCGCGACGATAGCGACACTCGCGTTCGCCAGGGTTTTTGGTCATTACTTCTGGTGCCAAGCGCAAGGACCCCAATAATCAACAGCCTGACACTCCGGCTTCACTGACGTCATTTGTTGGCACATCGATGCCACTTTTGACGTATGGGCAGTATAGGACGCTAGAGAAACCAGTCGGGGACGCGTTTCAGGCACCATATTTTGACCGAGAGTCGTGTTCGTCCAGTAAGAACGCGAGTCCCAGGCGAACGTTGATGCAGCGCTCGTGTTCAAGCTCTGTGACCCGGGCTGGTCTTTGGTAGGCCACGTAAAACACACAAAACTATGACTTAGTCAACTAGCCGGTGTTAACTAGGAAGCGAGCCGATTGGGTTCATCGAAAAATTGCAAAAGTGCAACGTCACGGCATTCGTCATCTTGTTGAGGGTCTGTAAACGGCTAAATCAATCAAGCGCAGTGAATGCACCTTGACTTTGCTGTTTTAGTAGATCTTTTTGCGTTAGCGCGTATTCTCGCATTTTACTGCGGTCTACTAACTCTATAACCAAGAACAGGAATTGTTGGCCACGTGAACTGTCTAATACGCATTCACATGGCCAACATAAATGTACCTTTAACAAAGTCCCTTTACAAACGGCGAATAAGCCAGCGCGCTTGCGTCGCAAGCAGATTCCACGAGCGGAGAATCGGGAACCGATTGGCCTCCGGCCAAAAAGTTCCCTTAGCTGAAAGGTCTTTATGATCGTGTGAATCATGTACAAGTTGCTCATCTACCAGGTGAATCCCTTTCGCTATAGCTTAGAAAAAAAAACTGGCATCTCGTCGCACAAACGAGAAACTTCTAGTTTGCTTTTACCATATCTAAAGCGTGTCAATCATTTATACGTGATAACCACTCAGTGCACGCGTGATCCTCCCTTACAAGATAGCAGAAAGAACACAACATTGAAAGGACGAAACAAAGAGGAATTTTATGCTTTCTGTTATCATGTACACTTTTCAAACACGCGTGTTAGTAATATAATCCTCCTTACCAACTGCTATAAATAAGCTGTGCCATTGACCCTGTTGTAAGGCAATTGCAGGTGAGTGACCCACTTCCGCTCTCCGTTTTACATTAACAGCTAAGGACTGCTTCAACATCAGCCAGGTGGCTCTTCGGCACGGGTTCTACGACCGCGCCGTCGAATGGGCTGAACAAGCGATAGCCAAGGCCACACAAGAACAACCATTCACAATCCCCAAGCAAGAGCTGGACACTTTTTACAAGGCCGCCATCGAAAAGGTCCTTAGGTCCATGCATTTTACATTAGGCCGGGGTCACGCTGGTTATATATCATACAAAAGAATACCTGCAGACACTGTCTGGCTCCGAGGCATGTTTCTGTTCAAGCATGAAATGTTTTTTTAACGCAACTCTCCCCTCTCCTTCCAATCCCAAAAAGGTGTCCGTTTGTCCTTGCATTTTCCACTAAATTTAGCAGGGAAAGTGGCATCACCCGGCATCACGTGACCTATACACATTGGGGAAATACGTCATCTCAGTTTCCCCGCAGCAGGTAAATTAAAGCCTTGCGGCCAAAACAGCAATTCAGTTTCCCCACTAAATTTAGCGGGAAATTGACATCCCGTGACTTATACATATTCCCACCCGCTCCGTTTGGTGGGAAAATTCACGACTTCCGACATAGACACCTATCCTGTTTCCCCGCTAAATATAGCGAGAAAAGATACGTCCTAGGACACACCAATTCTCGTTACCAAATTCCTGTAATTCATTTTATGCATCATAGGCCTTTTACGGTGAAGTTCGCTGCCAATATTTCTATACGACGGTTCCGCCACATTGGTCTTACAAAAACAGCCTGCACAGATGTTCGAAGTATACAGTGTACGTAGCATAGGGTAGGGTGGGGCTAAATGAGACAACAAATTTTAATTTCAATAGTTTTCTTTAATATTAAAAAATTGAAAGACGTTTACAACTCCCTGTAATGCCGAATTAGAGCGCAGACCTTGAGGAAGAGGAGGGTAGGGTAGAGATGGGAGGGTATGCCCCTCTTCTTTCACCGCTAAATTTAGCGAGAATTTGGCAATGTTAGATGCGTGAGACGTCACGTTCCGTCAAACGTCACGTGTCTCCTATAATGACGTCACACGTGACATTACGTGTGACGTCACGAGGGTAACCCTCATGAGGGTAACTCTCGTCACCCTCGTGAGGGTAACCCCCGTGAGAGTAACCCTCGTAACCTTTGTGACCCTCGTGAGGGTAACCTTTGTCAGGTTACCCTCGTGACCTGTGTGAGGCTAACCCTTGTGAAAGTAACCCTCGTAGCCCCCGTGAGGGTAACCCTCTTGAGGGTAACTCTCGTAGCCCTCGTGAGGGTAACTCTTGTGACGGTAACTCTGGTGACCCTCCTGAGGGTAACCCTCGCTACCTTAGTGACCCTCGTGAGCGTAACCTTCGTGATCCTCATGATGGTAACCCTCGCAACTTCCGTGACCCTCATAACCCTCGTGACGTCACAGGTGACGTCACGTGTGATGTCAATATGAAAAACGTCCTATAATGCAACGCGCGGTGAAGCCGACGCCGACGCCGCTCAACCCGGAAACGGGCGCCTAAGAGCTGCTGTCTCAAACACAGCAGGGGGCTATTCTTCGATGTCTTGTCTTTATACTCAGTAAATATTACATTACTTAACCGGAGCAAGCAAAACATTAAACAAACTTACAACATATCAAAGTCCCACAATAAAGAGTTTTAGCTGATCGTTTTTTCGCCCCGATAACGATACCTCCTCTCGCCTCCGGTGGCCTTGGGCATGCATCGTATCGTTATCGGGTGTCATTACCAGGGCAAAAAACGATCTGTTAAAACTCTGCAATGTCTCATGATGCCCCGCCCTGGTGGGCAGAATCAGACAACGTAGTGGGGTACAATGAGGCACACTTAGAAAGAACCTGATATGCGTTCAGATTTTTACAATAAAAGCACTTGAAACGCACTGTGAGAGCTCCAACGCACTCTTCGTGAGCCCTCTCCTTGCCTTTTATGCACCCGATTCATACTGACTGCGGGGCTGCTTGCTGTTCTTTGCATACCAGACACTGCTAGTCGTTTGCTCATCGCACGGTCTGGAGAGCGCTCTGACAATGCGCTCTTCTACGGGGGATCTCCAATAATCTTTCTGTTCGGTGTCAATTCTTTTGTTCTTTCGGGGGAGGCGGGCAGTGGAACGTCGGTTGTCGGTTGCTCTCGCAAACATCAGCTATGCCTTGTGAGGAGATGACGTTAGAACAATGCTGTTGTCCGACCTGCTTGTTTTCGTTTTCTATACTGCGTTAAATACAAAACAATTTTGCTTGAAACTTGAAACGTTGGAAAGGACGCGACTCTGTAGCCCAGCCGTTTTATTTTTTTTTATTAGTGCAGCAGTTTTTTTTACATTGCGCAAGTTGTTGGGCTTGCCTTCGAAGCGCATTCTATGGTGCGCCAAAAAGTGTGGCAGCAGTGCGAAGGGAGTGAAATCTGTTGCTTGAAATTTTCAAGTTGCATTCGCGCTATGAAGCCCTTGTTGTTTTTCTTCTACTCGTTCGGTTCATCGTAGACACCGGGAAAAAAAGAATATGGCTCAGGAGAAACCGGGAGACTCGTGTGTTAACAGCATGCGCGTCATAACATGCGAAATTTTCGCGTTTTGCCCCGCGCGTATCCCGTCACGTAAATATTTATTTTTTTAAAAAAAGCAACCACAGAGCTCTCAAATTCGGTCCGCATGGAGCTAATAAAATTATACCAATAAAATTAAAGCTTACTTCGGCAGAATAGTCGGTGCCAAAAGGGGTGCACGTATCGCAGCAAAACCTCGCGCTGAAGTTTGATCAGTTTTGGCTGGGGGTAAACACATCAACCTCAATTACACATTTTTTTTTTCTTTCGCGGGAACACTCTTGCCGACAGCTCTTACTTTTTTACACACCCAAAGTGTAAAGGTTAGATAAAATGCAAACTTGCGCCGTGGTCTGTGAACGATTTACCTCTGCGTCAAGAAATCTGTTTGAACACGACAGCGAGATGTGCCAAGCGGAGGGCATGTGTTTTCCTCCAGCCCCCTGAAACAGCCGACACTGGACAAGGCAAACACTGGCCAGCGGCGCCCAAGTAATACCAAGGCCACCGCCCCCCGGCCCAAAAAATGGGGCGAGGGGGGGGGGGGGGGGGGGCTGGTCTGCCCCCCTACTCGAAAACAAGTTGGTACGCCACTGCCAGTGCAAACGGTAGGGCCTGTCTTTCGAACGCTCCGCCTCCAGGTTTCACCACGCGCTCCACGTCTTCCGTCGTGCATATGCTGCGCGTGCGCACTCGAGGTGCAAAAGACGCCGAAGCATTGCCGTAGGTACATGAAGCTTGCCCTGAAGGCGGCGCAACTGAAGCTTTTGCCGCCGTTCCCAACCCAGCTGCTCAAACGACATGGAGGAAGCTTAAAGGGGTACTAAGAAGATTTTTTGAGCTACCTTAACTAACTCCATTTCCAGAATCACCCGCCTTGACCCTTTCAACTGTGTTATTTAGTATAGCCAATTTAAAAATAGGAATTGCGAAATGGCACATGAAAATGATGACAAGCCGACATTCAAATATGCCCGCGCTTTTCATCGCAATGACATCAGAGGAAGGCAGGCTTGCAGGTAGAGGGGGCAGTCTAAAAATGGACAACGCTGAGCATTACTTTCATGCTGATGCTTGGGTGCTGGAGCGAGCTTCCAACGCCTTCATTTGACACCATGAAACAGCTTGTAATCATTTGGAAACAAAGTCTACATTCCAAAGAGTGACCCTCTCCCTTCCACTGACGTTACTTTTTCATTCTCGCCAGTACAGATTTTCACTTTGAAAAACACGTTGATGGCCAAAATTGGAAAACTGAATAACTTCGCGAAAAACATTTATTTTGACCCAATATTTGGGTATTCTTTCAGCGATGTTTGTTGGTGTGTTTAGCAAATTTTCAAGCGCCACCTGGGACTATAAAAACAAACGCCGGGGCACCTCTTTGAAGCACATCATATAAGTTCGCTTAAATAAGTTATGTCTTCTTTTTTTTTTTTTCCAACAGCACGATGAAGTGTTGAGTACCATGGGAGAAGCAGGTGAGCCCCTTTGTGTTATGTGTTAGCGTTGGAACCCTCGTTTTGACGAAAACCCGGCGGTGTCTGTCAGTTTGTCAGTGCCGTCGAGAGAAAGGAAGGGAGGAGGAGAGTCTGGCGAGTGCGACACTTTTATTGGTGCGAAGCGCTGATGTCGGCACGTGTCGGTTTCTCCCTCCCTGTCCGCAAAAAAAAATAAAATAAAGGAAGCAAAAGAGAAAGCCAAAAGAGAAAGTCAAGACAGAAAAGTGAAAGGGCCGGCGTAAGCTTCTCAAAAAGGGGAACTTGTGCGGCCTTTCTCCAGGGTCATTCCCGAAAAAATCAATATATCTTCCTGTAATTTTTTTTTCAATTTTTTTAAATGATTTGGCTGATGAGGTTGAGCATTTTCTATTTAATGGTCTCTTTCTAGCTTTTTTTGTAACCGGCGTCCTTTATACGTCGTTGCCTTTGGGTCTACGTCTTGGGTTGCTCCCTCTATAGGTTCTGGGTAGAGTCTGTTGGGGATATATCCGTGGGCAAGTCAGCCCATTTCCCTTACTTCGAGATTAGTGTGAGACTTCACTAACGCCCACGTTCCACTAAGGGGGTTGGAGAAATATATAGGTGTGGACACCGCGCGTGTTTCAACTGCCAGATAAAATCCTCTCCCCGCCTCGGTTGCAAGCGGCGCCAGCAGATCACTCCTCGGTATACGCGGCCAGCCTGTCGCGGTCCCGGTTTCCCATGCTTCTCTATAGGAGACATTCCTGTTTTAGCGTTGTTCTCTGGGTACACCACGGCATGTCGAACTTGCTACTTGCGCTACTCATGTTGCTTAGACATTGCTTCGTCACCGACCCTAGTGTTTCGTCCCTCAACGGCGGCAAGTGTCGTTTTATGAACGCGTTCAAGGGGAGAAATATCTGGCGCGGTGCTCAAGCCACCGTCCTTCAAGATAAAAACGGACACTCCGAACGGAAAAAGAGTGCGCTCGGGTGCCATACGTACGAGTCACTCATTTTTCTGTTGTTTTTACTGCCCGTTTCCACATTTGGCGGCGTGGGCGTCGGCGTAACTTCGCGTGGCATTATGGGCCGTCTCAGACATAAACACCAATTCGATTCCCTGCTAAATTTAGCGGAGAAACGGCCCCCACACAGGGCCTATCGCGCACTAGACTTACCGGGAAAATTGACGTCCCGGGACCTCAACACCAATCTAGTTCCCCCGCTAAATTTAGCGGAAAAAACGACGTCACATGACTCCAAGTCACGTGACCTATTCACAAATCCAGTTTCCCCCGCTAGGTCTAGCAGGAAAATTGACGTCACGTGACCTCCCCACCAATTCAGTTTCCCAGTTAAATTTAGCAGCAAAAATTACGTCCACATGACTTCGTGTCACTTAGCTTATACACAAACTCGATTTCCCCCTAGATTTACCGGGAAAATTGACATCATGTGACCTCAAAAACAATTTAAATTCCCCGCCTAATTATTTGGAAAATATGACGTCACATGACTTCGCGCAAGTCAACTATGCACAAATCCAGTTTCCCCGCTAGCGGAAAAACTGACGTCACGTAAACTCAACACCTATTTAATTTCCCAATTAAATTGAACAGGAAAAATGGCCTATACAACAATTCAGTATCCGCGCAAGATTTAGCCGCGAAATTTGAATCCCATGACCTCAACAACAATTCACTCTACCCACTAAATTTCGGAAGAAAAATGACGTCACATGACCGTACCACGTGACCTATTCACACATTTAGTTTCCCCGCTATATGTAGCAAAAACATTGACGTCACTTGACCTCGCCACCAGTTCAGTTTCCCCGCAAAATTTATCGGGGAAAATGATGTCGGATGACTACATCTCACGTGACCTATACAAAAACTAAGTTTCCCCGCTAAATATAGCGGAAACATTGACATGAAAACCTACGCCAAAATACCTCAAGAGCTGGCCTCTAATTTGGAGTTACAAAAAAATGTAAACGTTCTTCAATTTGTCTATTTTTTTTTCTCAGTTCCGCCATCTAGATGGCAGAGGCGCTGTTGGCTGAGGCTAATCGGGCGCGCGCCAATGGGACTTTATTTGGTCAATCGCGTTCAGCGTTCGCAGAGTTGTTTGTCCACACCTCTATACCTTACACCGTGGTTCCACTAGGGCGACAAACAGAAACAACTGACACCGACAAGCCCCCAGCAGGCGCGGCATGCACGCAAAGGTATCTTCGGCAGGCTTGTGTTGACTACACGAGCACCGAGACACTGCAAGCCTGCCAGAGCTACCTTCGCGCGCATGCTGGACGTGCTTTAGGCTTCTCCGTGTTGGTTGTCTCCGTTTGTGGCTATGGTGGGACTCGGGCGGAGAGAAAATAAGTTCCATCCACTCGCCGTGGCGATATTTTGCTAGGGAATATAAAGGCTGGTTCACACATATGTAACGGCTGCGTTCACGACAACGAAAACGACAGAAACAGCCGGAACACCCGACCAACCGTGACTTGTGACTGCTCCGCTAAGCCTCTTGCTGCATTGCTTGCTACGTTTTTTACGGCGAACGCTTGTCCGGATTACTTTCTCGTAGATGTCGTTTCGGTTGCTGCGAACGCAACAGACAGAAATGTGTGAGCCGTCCTTAAGTGACATCCTAAAAAAACACCCCATTGATTACACGACACTAAACAGTTTCAAAACCATAACAGCAAGCTTTAGTTCATACCTTTTTTTCAAAAGTGAAACCACGTTAAGGGCTCATACAACTCGAAATGAAGTAGCATTGATTTCATCAAGACATAAAGACATTCGATTAATGAAGTGCTCGAAGGACGTCACTGTTTCCAACGCCACGGCACCATAAACATTTGGTTAACTTTGCTATGCGATGTAACCAAGTGTGGGACTTACTCCAACTTGGTTACATCACTTAGATTTTCTTGGCGTGCGCAGGAAACCACTGGCAGACGTACGGAGTACCTGTACGGGAACGTGCGAATCGGTCCACGGAGTTTAAAGCACAACTCTTCGACGAGGAGATTGAGGATGACCAGGTGAACCAAAACTACAAGAGACTTTGCCGCGGAGAACAGCTCAGGGTAAGAGTTGTCTCCCACTATGTTATTTGTATAAACCAACGCGCCAATAGCAGAGACAGCTCGGCAAGGTGACGTCGGAGCAGCATTTTGGGGTAGAGTAACGGCCAATTCGTCCGGGCCCGCATCGCACCGCTGCAGTGCGGTTCCTGGTACACGGAAGACTAGAGGCGAGAGGGGAGCTTCCTTCTCTCCTCGCCTGCTTTCTTGACCAACCGGAAGCCGAAAAGAATTCCCTAGCGGTGGTAGCGAGAAACAGTTCTGATCAAAGGTCTATGTTCGTAAATGGTTTTAATAAGCGCGTAAGAGTGAAGTGCAGTAACTCTTTGGGGTCGAAAATAGGGTGCACGTGTTGTTTTGATCATGATCATGCAGGAAGATGTAAGAAACCAATGCGCCGTTCAACTCCGTTTTGCGCGGACAGAGTGTGACCGCTCGGACGGCAGATTCCCGGCCCTCGGCGCTTGGCGTACGGATTATGTCGATGGTACCGCTAGTCGCACTCTTCCACCATAATTTCGGATGAGCGTGATTGAAACATCACGTGTACCATATTTTCAGCCATCGAGAGTTACTTCAATGCAGTTATCAGGTTTGTTTCTCGCGACCACCACCAGGGTATTATTTCCGGCTTCTGGTTGGTCACATTCGAATTTCTGAAGACGCCCTGGAACACGCCCAGCCCGCTTTCGGCCAATGGCGCCTTCTATTTGTCTTCTATACTTCCCAACGAAAGGCCAAACTCTCTACAAATACGGCTCTGTGCTGCATGTACCGGTCCAGTCGAGTTGCGAAAGGGCCGGTGGCACTCCTTTGCATCGAGGGCGATCCTCCTCTTTTATCGGCGTTCTTATCGTCTAATGTCGCAATCTTATTGGCTGAGGAGCGATGATAAGATGCTCGGGAACCCCACCCCGCCACTCACCCTCTCGCGGACGAACGAAGCACTAGAGGAGCGGGGACGGCGGCAAAGATGGTGGCAAGGACTGTCGGCCTTGGTGCTGCTGTTTATGGACGAAGAGCGTGTTGGTGTGGGTCAATATTGAAGAAAGAATAAACATCTAAGACTAAGACGACACAGTCACATCTTTCAGATAGCAACGTACACGTAGAAATTTCATAAACGAGCAACCTACTACGGGAGAAAAAGCGAAGCAATGGAAAGTAACTAAAAAGAGAGGAAGGCGGGAGAGGGGGATAACATACCATGCAAAGTCAGGTTAACAGAATCATCTCTGATTTCATGAATACAACTTTTTAGTTGTTTCTTAGCTACTTTCCATTTCTTCGATCTTCCCGACTATAATTGATTGCTCGCTTTTGAAATTTCTACATGGCCGTTGCTAGTTGAAAAGTGTGGTTGTGTCGTCTTTGTCTTACATGTATATTCTTTCTTTAATCTTGTTGCTGTTACCTTATGGTTCTTGTAGGCGTGCTCGTGACCTATGCAGTTTTAATGGGAAAAGCGAGTGCCTTAAAATATCAATTGTTGTGTTCCGCTTCGCAACTGTTTAAAAATCAAAATGTTCGTTTTCTTAAGCTACGTCAACATATCCGTCCCCAGCGATATGCTTGTGACCTGACCGCTTCGTATTTGTAGCGAAATATATTAATCGTAGTGCTCTGACCGGCGTCAACAAGCAGGCGCGCAAGAAATCCTAGAGAAAATATTCCCTTCTCTTCCGCCTATAGGGTGGAAGACACGGGGTTTGACAATTTTCATTGGTAGTATCAGTGTTGTACGGAGCGGCGTTCCAAGGAACGGCGTTCCTGGAACGCGTTCCATTTAGGAGGAACGAAGGAACGCCGCCGTTCCATTTTGCATCGCTGGAACTGGAACGGGAACGGCTTACATTTTTACTGGAACGGAAAGAGTTACGGCGTTCCTTTTTTTTGTTCAGTGGGGTCAGTTTTATTTTATTTTTAACAGGAAAAGTATGGAAGTAAAAAAACAATTTTTTTCACGAAGTGCAGGATCTCGTTAACTTTTTGGCTACTAATCTTATAAATTATTTTGTATCGTCCTCGCTTGCTAACAGTTAAGGGTGCAGGAGAGCTGGTGAGCATTGATTCTTTTTTGAGCGCCCGAAACTGCGGTACTAAAAGCAAAACTTTTAGTCGTAGGAAAAGACAAAGAAGGAGGGTTGTATTTAACTCAATTAATTCCTTTGGTTCCACAAATCCTTATACACCCAGAAGTCGTATTCCGGCTACAGCCATTTCTGAACTTCAATAACGAGACCTACAATTACAACAAGATCACAGATTGCCAGATATCGGACTCACCCTTGTATCCCGAGCATTGGTCACTTAAAAGATACACAAAAAATTACCTTTATTCCTTCTCTTGTCCCCCACCTTCAAACTGAACAGCAAATCCGACTTTCACAACAAAGTATTTGTAGCTTTCAAGACTGACTTTCCAAAAGCCCTACCCTCTCCTTTACTTGCTCGTCTTGCGAACAGCAACGTAGAGAAGAAACTGTTGTTAAGTTCTAACACGGGAGTCTTTTAGATTGAAACGTTTGAGGTTGTTGTAAAACGCTGGTGCAATCTTGGGTAAAAGTGCGTTTGGCTCGTCTGAATTGTCCACTACAAGCATGGACATGGTTAATACCTGAGTTTTTTAACATGAATATATTAACAAATGAAGCCCTACTTCTGAGTGTTTTCTTCTCCGGGTGCCCTTCCATCGCGACATACAAACTCGTATGTTGACTATTAATGGAAGAGATAAAGAAAAAGCACTGCTTGATTTAACTAAATATGGTAATTAGCAAAAGAATACAAACATACATGTTCTTAACTGTAACGGGAAAGAATTCCTTTCTCACAGATGGAACTTGTAACGGGAACACGTTCCAAAAATCAGAAGGAACGAGGAACGAGCTTTCGTTCCTTTTTATGAGGAACGTTTACAACAGGGGTTAGTATATGGGTAGAAGAGGAAAATCTAAGTAGACCGACTGCACGCCGTTGGTTCCTCTTTGATTCGATGCGCTACGATCATATTCATTTAAACCCATCTACAGCGCGTCGGAGTTTTGGAAAATCGAACTGATGAAAGGCAGCACTAGATATCTTCTTTGAAGACGCCTGCGCATGCGGGCGCTATATTCCGCCTGGAGCTTAATTCACGCTCACGGCTTAGGGCAGAAAAAGTAAATTCTCACTCGAAATCATTTGCTTTAATTTCACGAATAAGGTAAACCTTCGTCTTGTAGTAAGCTGTTTCGTTTCTATGGGTTTTGTGATTCTGTTTCTGGAAGAGTTTGAGGAATCTTCCTCAGACTTTCACTTTTGTTTTTACAAGAAAGTTTCTTTGTATCCACCAAAACGTGTGCACATGGTGAAAGGCAAATTAAAAAAATAAAAGAAAGTCACGTCCAGAAAGCAGGAACACGACAAAACAATGTTTAACTTTGAAGACTGCTCATATGTTTGTTTGGAGCGAGTCTTTTGTAGCGGGGGTATGCAAGTTCTATTTTCCTTTTTATTCGACTTTTTATTTAACAAAAATAAACATCGGACTCTAGCTAAGAAAAAAAATGAAAGCGAAATTGTCAGCTAACTCCTGGTAATCAATCAAATATGCGATGGTTACAAAGAAGAAAAGCACAAACCACACGATGCCGAAGTATAGGCGAAAGGGGCGACTTCTGCTTTAGAAAACATAGAGAGGTCGTCTCTATGTTTTCATGGTCGCAATTATTTGAACATGGCCATAATTATTTGAGAAGCGATGAGATGCACAAGGGCAATAAAAACAAAAAAAAAAAGACGATCCACCATTAGAGCATTTCAGGCCAGAAAACAAAATGTATTAATCCTTTGTACAGTGCTCAACTAAACGAAGTGGATTAGTAGAACGTATGGCCTCGCAAATAGTTATATCGGAGATTCCTGTGGTAACTAATGACGGAGGCACATAATTAACTATTTATGGTAGCCATATACGCTAGAGTAACTGTATATGCTCCTAAGGTCGACCGTACCCAGTTACTTTAACGAGTCCACGCTCTCAGGTGGAACATTTTTGGCTCGTCGAGCACTGTACGGACTGTAAGGAAACAGGATTGCCTACTGAGGTCTCTAATTTAGGGAGAAGAAACGAACAAACAAGAACCTACCTGTAAACGTTATAGCGAAGGTTCTGGTTCTTATTTCGCAACAAAAATTTCTCATTTACAATGGGACGTTCCTGAATATTACATTCGGGCTTAGTAATTAATCTATTGATTTACGACATAATTGAACAATGCATTCATTGCCGTCTAATTTATTAACCGCAAAATCGCTCAAAGTAGATCCTCTACGGAGTTGTCGGAAGTTTTATGTTCCCCAGCAGCGTTTGTTCGGTGTGGAAGGACATTTGCTATAATACACAGTAATTACAAACCAAAATAAAAAATAAATGGCATTGTTTGTGTAGACGGCAGAATGAAACGAAAAAAATGCTTGTTGAAATGCTTGTCTTTATTTGTACTGTTATTTGTTAAAAAATTTAAAAAGGATTAGAGTATATTAAATGTTAAGTTAATGTCCTGGATAACAAATATGCAACGTAGATATATTGCGAGGATGTTTGGAGTGTTGAGTTTATTTAAAGTAATTCTGCCAAAATGTTTTCCAAACGGTTGTTTTAAATGTTTAAAAAACTAAATGTTTTTTTTAATCAAAACCACTAAAAGTCGCCACTGTTTATAGCTTCACTTTATCCCGGGCATCGTTTGATAACTGTTGAGAGTATGTTGAATTGAATAGGTTAAGGCCCAACAGCTGTAACCCACGCCAATAATTTTTTCCTTCTTTATAAAAATAGTTGAACTATTGTTGTACATACGCCAAATTGTGACGTCACTGGTATTGCTAGTAGACTGTTGTCAATTCAGAACTTCGTTAATTTGGTCAATTTTATCTGTAGTCTGTCTTTAATGTGAGCATGAAAATTTTCCTTTTGCCTTGTTTAAACATTTTTGTATCACTGACCACAAGTAAGGAATTGAAATAGCCACGTCTAAGAGCCATTGAACACATGCTGTTTAGCTGTCTGCTTAGGAATATTCCTTTATTCCTTACAAAAGTCGTTGTTACCCATACCAAAGATTTCCCTAGTGCTCAAAAATTACTAACATATTAGCCTTTCCGCCTAGCTCATATTGGGTACGGAAGGTTCCTACAAGACTTGACTGACAGAGAAAAAAAACGCTAATCTTGTTCGTTTTGGTAGAAATACAAAGATGATCTTCGGTGTCCATAGGGAACTGAATGATATGAGGAAAGTGTGGAAAGTTTGGGATAGCCTGCAAAGATACATACGTTTTTACTACTGCTATCAGCTAAAAAGGATGTACTAGCAATAAGAAATCTATATGCTGAGGTCACTATTTTTTTTTTTACTTTTTTCGTTATCTTCTTATCCTTGCCTCAGTCGTCGGCACGTGGCTTTTGACGGTATGTCAGATACACCGATAAATTAAATAAAATCCCCCCATATCTTATTAATAATCCCGTATACGTGATAAACTCAATCAGCTTCCACGATCATTCAATTAAAGGGACCATGAAATGATTTTAACATCGAGTTTCATCCACCGCACGTCGTAAAAGGTGTGAAAAGAAACACAAAAACACAAAAATAGGGAGCCCCAAAAAAATATTTGCTATAGAACTTTTAAAAGAAAACTGGACTCTTTTGCGCCTTCCTTCCTTCGCCTGTTCACTACGATGCATCCGCGGAAATGGAGCACGTCAGCCAAATCCACGTCGCCTATTGGGTAAGAGCCTACCTCACCAGCACCGCGATCGTAAACAATAAATAGCCGGCGAATGTTTCCTAAAAGTTTTGTTAAATAATATTCAGATCCACATTTTGTAGCATAATTAGAGATGTGTGGCGAAAATTGCCAAATTTGATAATGCTGAGAGCCAAGCGCCATCTATCGTGTGGTAAACGAAGCAACTACTGCGCGTGCGCAGTAGGGCAGGGCCGACAGTTACTTGGGTGGCGGCGGTGGCGGCGACCGGCGAACGTTTCTTTTCTTTGTTTTCCTTCCTCTCAAAACTCTGACTGACTGAACGTTTATTTTTCTACGTGTTCTTCCCGCGCGTGCCGACTTCAAGCAGCAAGAAAACAGTACTTAAAACAGACCACGACGAACAAGAACGCTGGATCCACCGACTCCGACGAAGCGCTGCTCAGAATATAGGCCTAGCAGGCATTCCGACTCGGCGCTGCGTTGCTTCGTCGCAGGACCGTCTGCCTACGACCGGCTGGCGTGCTAAATGGAATATGCCCGCGCGACCCTTGTGGACCCTTCCCGTATTATAGTTTGATCGCTGACCTCAATTCTAGATTAAGAGGTGAGGTCAATCTCTTCCCCTTGTTTTCCGAGGCAGTGTTGACGAACACTCGTCGAAAAGGGACTCTCGTCGATTCTATCTTCTTGTTTTGTGTGATATAGAGCTGAAATAAACGCCGTATGGATTACCTTGGTAACACGGTATGTACACTTTGTTATTGGTATCCCATTTTTATTCTGACAGACTGCACGTCACTGTCGAGCTATAACAGTTCGTGGGAGGTATACGTACAACCCCGGTCCAACCTTTCTTTGCCGAGTGTCGCGTCAGTATCGAGTTGCAATCGCAAAAGAGCGGTCCCGAAGCGCTTACAAACAGCGCGAATACAGCACTTCCATCAAGCGCGCGCGTCCGCTCCGAGTGTAAACAGGTATTTACGTGGCTCTTGCTGACACTCGTAGTTCAAACGTGTCTTTTTTAACGTCGGCTCGCTCCTGCATCTCCGAGGCCGCGAGAAACGCCATCTACGTCGCTTTGCAAACGACTGACACGGGCCGGCCCTTCTGCCAACAATGACAGGGTGGTTGACTTCTGGAGTCTTCAGCGGAAGACTCGCTGCACTTCCCAACAGGCATACCGGCGTATGGGACTAGTCCCATGCTGTCGCTGTAGCACAACATATCTCATTGAATTTCGCTCAGCTGCGATGCGGCGATGAGAGACGCCGATTCAGGAAATACGTCGGTGACATCAGCGCAGTAAAACCTACCGGCGCACCCCAACTCGTTGACGCTAACACTCCCATGCTCCTACTGCCGAGAGAACTTCCGGTTCCGGAAACGGCCTACGTCACGGCTTGTTTTGCGGTCAGTTGGAGAGAATGAAAAAGTCGATATTTCAATAATTTTTTGTGTAGAAGTTAATAAACCGAGACGAAAACGGATGCCTGTTCGGCATTCAGTGAACATTGACGGTTTAATGTAAAAGTTATCTGGAAAAAGTAAAAAGGTCATTTCATGGTCCCTTTAAGCGATAATTGTCGAGAAACTTTTCCAATTCATCGGTTAAAACTTTTTAATCGGTGAACAGCCTTATTACGCATGTCTGATACTCGAACTATGACATTCAAGTGAAATTTCTGTTTGGCACGTCGAGTAGCACACCATCCCACTTCTTACGCAAAATGTCGTCTGTCCCGTCCAAAGACGCCAAAGATGGACAGCCAGCTGAGGTGTCGCTACTACGCGGGAGAATCCGGCTTCTTCAAGCTGCAGCCAATGAAACTCGAAGAATACAACCTTAAGCCTTACGTCGTCGTGCTGCGCGACCTTCTGCAAGACAGAGACCTCGACGATATGATCGCCTTCGCTGAGCCACGGGTAAGGAAACTCCCAGTTTTGCTTAGTTTGCAATAACATAATTTGGAAGAGGTGTGCAAATACCGGTAGCAATTGAATGACGCAATGTCATCCCTATCAATAACACTTAAAAAAAGCTGTGTAAGCGGCCCTTCTTTCCAGTACGAAGGTTATGAGTTAAGGCTGCGGTACCACGGCGGCCATCTTGAACAAAACATTAGTTGAACCACCAGGGCGGCGTTGGCTGTCCGTATGAGCAAATGCTGCAAAACCTGCGCGCCAATTTCGAAACCCTTTTTCCCGTCGCTTGCGACCTTGAGTTTCCTTCTCCACTCTTACGCCCCTCCTTTCACGTGTTCACCCTCTGGCGCGTCGCGCCCACGTTCATTGTTGGGAGGACAATGTACCGGATAATCCCCAACTTGAGGCCCCCTGCCAAAATTGTCCGGCTGCCAAGTGATTTGAGCGAGATGGGGTTTTGAAGCGGTATGGAAAAGTGGGACCGTCAATTTTGAACTATGCCTTTTCGATACTGCATTAGTTGTGTACGGGGCTGGCCAAGGCACGGGCGCGAGGACGTAACTGTATACAATGCTTGGGTTGCAGGAGCACTCGCGCGTAGAAATGGTAGGACGCGCTTTCTGAAATCACACGCCTACATTCCGCAGCGTTGCAATCCTACGAGTAAAACAGAGTACATCTTCGGACAGTGCGTGAGTTGATGCCGGCCGTACGAAAGACACACCTCGCGCTTCCTGTCACTACTGCCTCTGCTTGCACGCGCTGCCGATTGGCGGTCCTTTCTTTATTTTGTTTCGTCGCTCTTTTGAAAATACTGAAACTAATATTTTCTCAGACCCTGCTCATCGTACCTCTGCACTACAGTTGTGTAAACACGTTGTGATGTAATTTGAGATATGGGACGGAGTGTCTACATTCTTATTTCGTGTGTAATGCCGGCATAATATTCCTTTGCAGCCAGAGGGTCAAAATAATGGAAGGGTCGGCAGCAAAAACTATTTCAATGACCGAATTATGATCAAACACCAGTAAGAACATAAAAAAGAAATCACATGGGGACAATAAACATATTGCTACAAGAGGATGGTGCGTGGGGCACAAAAAATATTCGGAGTGACGTTGAGGGCACGCGACAAGCCAGATCTTTCCTGATGGCAGCCGTAAAAGTTGATCTGGTGCCTCGTTTTGATCGGCTTTGCACGGAAACTCGTAAACTACCAACTATCTTGTCAGTGGTGAACATAGTGAGCATGAACTGGATGATTTTTTTGTTGTTGTTTTTGTTTCTGTAGTGAGAGTATGGAAATATGAGACGTCCGCTGACGCTTGCGTCGGCTAGCGGAACCTCAGTCGCCGATCGCGGCCGATGTCATGGGCGTATACAAATACATCAAGTCGTCTGGGCGGGAGCAGTTGAAGCGCCGCACTTTTTTGGCCGGTCAGTAGAGACTCCGCGAATTCTGACTCGAGGCTACTCTGTGCACGTGCGGAGGGAGCCGCTACTGAGCGCGACCAATCGGAAACCAAGGATGGCTGAAATTTCCTAATTGCCATGAGATTTGCAAATTCGTTCTTCCCGCCGTAGTAAATTCGTCCGAATCGTTATTCGATTTCCTAATCGATTATTTGGATGAAAAGATATATTTCAAAATTCGTACGTGGCTCACGAAATGGCAATAAAATTGTTATAGGATTTCAAACCTATATAGTGTCGCCCTAATTTACAAACTTGTTTCACTTGAAATTAGAGTACACGCGCAAGCGAGCTGGTGGAAGCCTATACTAAAAAGGCCAGAAACAAGAGAAACAAAAAATAAATAAATAAGAGCGGGATAAGCGCAACAGTCTCAAATCACAGCTGAAAATGGTTACTTGGTAAGTGTAAATGTCCAGACATTGTATTAGTAAAATGTATATATATATATATATATATATATATATATATATATATATATATATATATATATATATAAAAAGTCACAAATGCGTACTGTCGGAGTTATTAATTCGAAGTTCATTCCGACGTTTCGAGCGGGGACCGTTCTTCATTAGGTGATGAAGAGTCGTCCCCGCTCGAAACGTCGTAGTAAAGTTCGAATTAGTAACTCTGACAGTACGCATTTTTGCCTTTGTATATATATATATATATATATATAGGGAGAGAGAGAGATAGATAGATAGATATTTTTCGCTATTTGCTGACGGCCGAAACTAACTATGCAACACAACAAGTAAAACCACAGAGCTGCCCCGCCTCATATCACCCTCAGTTGGAGCTCGACTGACACATTGCGCCGATCAAGCATCACCAACAGCTCAACACCTAAACGCCACGGCGTTCACTATCTTTGTTTAGGTGATTCCACCCACTAATGTAACAACCCATACAATGCGCCGTGATAAAGTGCTTTTTGTCTTTGTGTATGTGTTTTTGTGACATCTAACCTCTGTTTGCGCTCTGACTAAGAATGAAACCATGTATACTAAAACGGGATACGGTCCATTCGTCACATGCGCACTCGTCACAGGACGATTGGTCACAGGACGATTCGTCACACAGGAACATTCGTCATAGGATGACTCGTCACGCGGCCAACCGGTCCTACAATAGTTCGTCCCCCCAAAATGTGTCGTTCAATTTGGTTCCAGCGGACGAAGTGGCTCACCTCATATTTTAGTATGTCTGTGGCTTCTGAAAGGCAAAGAATTTGTAACAAACGTTTTATCTTCTGGTTCGGTCCCGAACATTGAATGTTGGTTTGGCCTGACAAAGTGGGTCACCTCTTATCTTAGCATATGTCTTTCACTTCTCAAGGTCAAAGAATTTGTAGCAGACGTTTAGCTTCTGGGTCCGTCCCGAACGGTGAATGCGGAGGTCATATAAGAGCGACTATTTTTGAACTCGGACTACATTCAAAAGGATGGAGGTGATCGCAAAAGAGAGAGGTGGAGCCATGCAGGTGCACGAGGGGTGCTCGTACATATGCAGCAGAAAGAATTCCGATACTTACTGGTTTTCTCGAAGAGGTGTATGCAAGGCAAAGTAAAAACTGATTTGGCTGCCAGTCGGATTATTGCTCGTGCCAGCAACTTAGATCAGCCTGCTGAAAAGTCGCAATATTATGAAAGGAAAAGCGGATGAGTATTGTAAGATTAGTTTTTCTAACCACTAGTTTATGTCACATTGGGAAGTCGTGAAACTCCTCATCGGAGAATGTGGGCAGTTGTTCAAATTTACAATTTTCTATCGTCCCCTGCCCGATCGATGTGACCAGTTGCCCGCATTACGAGTCATCCTGTGACGAATGTTCCTATGTGACGAATCGTCCTATGACAAATCGTCCTGCGACGAGTGCGCATGTGACGAATCGTCCTCATCCCTACTAAAACATCGGTAGTGGTCTCTATTTTTAGCGACGCTCGCACACGTCTTGCCTTTGACGCAGTGGCATTCTCATCTCCCATACACGGACATTTGGACAAAATAGGTTGGTCGGCCTTCACTCATTAGCTGCGGAACGTTTTGACCGTGACGTATGTATAATTCAAAGAAGCACCGACAGGCGGGTGCCCCTTTGAAAACAAATCATGTTCGCGTAGAGATATTTAGCGGCTATAGTATAGCCCGTGGGTATTTATTTCTAGGCCAACTCGTCGGCGTCAGTCGGTACAGGCGCTGGAGGCGTGATGAAAATGCTGGCAGATGTCGGCTTGACGAGCCCCACACTCTCCCCTTACAGCAGATGGCAAATAAACCAACAACAATCTTTGTCGACGGGCAATTGATTGAAGAGGCCAATCGGTAGTAGGATGACTCGACAAAGGGTAATTCATCAAAAATTCCAACTCGTTGACAATTGTTTGTGAGGCCATTCAGTTTCCACATTGCACTCATCTTCTGTATTAGAACACATACACATGTTAGACATTTTAATATAAGCAAGTTTCGGGCACCGGATATTTTTTTGAAAAGCTGTTTCACCGAATTTCGCATCTCCGGGTTCGTCGAATTTTGATATGAAATCATAATATAACTATTATACTTGTCACTTCTTCAATTAGAAATGGTTACAGATAATTATAAAATAAAAGTAGGCTTTCGCAAAAATTATGTCGATTATAGGTAGGGTTCGGCTTTTTCGGTTTAAACCGATAAAAACCGATAAAAGTACGCCGAATCCATTTTTGGAAATTCGGTTTTAACCGAAAAAGGTCAGTTTTTAGGCTCGGCATTTTCGATTGAAACCGATAAAAATACGTCGCATTCATTTTCTAAAATTCAGTTTTAACCGGAAAAGCTCACTTTGACCTTCCAGTCGTACCGCAGAGCTGTGGCGAAAAAAATAAACGACAGTGTCTATCGAAATGTGCCCGAATTTATGGGATACACGGATGCCATCACGACGTTTTGGTTTGAATGTGCCGCATCATCGATCCGAACGTGAAGTCTGAAATGCCCCCTGACTCCCCATATACAAGCGTGTTTTTTAACTCGTTGTAAAGAAGACTGACTTGATTCAAGCTCTGCATGTTATGTTGTGCTTCAATACGTCGCACCGTGTCTCTTTTGGTGGTCACAATTCGTTGATGGGCCAATTTTGGCTCAGGCAGCTCTTCATATCCTCAGACTGCCAGTGTCCAGTGTTAGCGTTGTGAGGGCATTCTCGAAGCTCAGGGTTATATTAACAGGGAAGAAAGAGTGCGGATCAACGAGGAGAACTTGGGAATGTACATGTGTGTGTACTATAATAAGATCACGTAATCCTGACGTACAGACGGTAAAGTTCCATTTTTTTTTTGGAAATAGGCTTTATATCTTACTTGTCTGTACTTCTGTTTTCTTCTTGTTTCTTTTACAGTTGCACACATTCGCCAAATAAAGTGTCCATTTCTTTTTCAATGTATCTGTGCCGTTATTCTTTGAATGATCAAAAATATCAGAGCTACAAGAATCATCTGATCCGGTGACCGTTGGTGTTTATTGTATATCCACTGAAAAC